ACGTAACGATAGGAACTACATTTGTAAGTAACTATGTTCGGAAATGGAATGTGTCCGATGAGGAAAGTTGTTCAGACCATCGACACATAAACTTTGAAATCGGAGGGATTCAGACCTCGATCCTAACATATCAAAATCCCCGGAAAACAAACTGGGGAGCCTATACGGTGGACCTGGAAACCTGTTTAGACCGCATGGATTTTGACATCAGAGATTCCATTGACCTAGAGTTGGCAGCAGATCGATTACAGGGAGCTATCATCTCTACGTACAACGAACATTGTCCCATAGTAAATCAGAGATCTAACAGGAATGTGCCCTGGTGGAATGGAGATCTGGCAAGGATGAGACGAAAAACTAGAAAAGCCTTCAAAGGCGCAAGGAAATCAGATTCATGGGACCAATACAGAAGAGCCCTAACTGAGTATAACAAAGTCCTGAGAAAAACCAAGAGAGATACGTGGAGAAGGCAATGTGAGGAGGTCGAACAGACCCAAGCATGTGCCAGGCTCTACAAAATACTCTCGAAGGGACCTCAGGTCTCAATAAATAATTTGAAAATAAATACGGGGGAGTATACAAAAACCGGAGAAGAGACTATCAGAGAGCTTTTCCTGGTACACTTTCCCGGGTCAAAAATTACAAATCTAATACCGGAGTCCTGGGCGAATTCAGAACTGGAGACCCCGAAAAGGGCATCCAGGGAGGACTGGCAAATGACAAAGAAGGTGATAGATACGGAGAAAATCAAATGGGCTATAAACTCATTTCAACCCACATCAGTCGCCGGGACCGGATGGCATATACCCAGTAATGCTTCAAAAGGGACCGGAAGTACTGTTCAAAAAATTGTGTATAATTCCCAGGGCAAGCTTAGCACTGGGACACATACCAAAAATTTGGAGACTGATCAGGGCCACCTTCATTCCGAAACCTGGGAAAATTGGACAGGGCTCGGCGAAGGCTTTGAGGCCAATTAGTCTCATGTCATTTGCGTTGAAAACACTAGAAAAACTACTTGACATGCATATTAGGGACATAACACTGGCTATCAGACCATTACATCGAGACCAATATGCATACAGGTCAGGTATGTCAACAGAAACGGCTCTATGTCGGGTAACAGAAAAAGTAGAATATACCTATAAAAACAAGGAAGTAATCTCAGCTGCTTTCTTGGACATTGAGGGCGCATTTGATAATACGTCGTTAGAATCAATCATCCAGGCGTCGAGGAGAAGAGGGATCGACAAGACAAGCTGCAGTTGGATAGACTGCATGCTTAGGGAAAGATTAGTATATACAACCATTATGGGGGAAACAGTCGTGGCACAGGTAGCAAGGGGCTGTCCACAGGGGGGGGTTCTATCCCCTCTGTTATGGAACCTTGTAATGGACGAGTTACTATGTCTCCTGGACCGTAATGAGTATAAAGCACCGGGCTATGCAGACGACTTAGTCATCCTAGTCCAGGGTAAATACAATAATTTAGTGAAGGGATGCATGCAGCAGGCCCTGAACATCATAACAAGATGGACCGGAGAGGAAGGGCTCAACATAAGCCCATCTAAATTCACCAAGAGGACTAAAACGGAGGGTCTCGGACCTCTAAAACTTCGAGGTGAAGAAATACAAGTGTCGGGGGAGGTTAAATATCTGGGAGTAATCCTAGATTCCAAACTGATCTGGAACCAACACTTGGACAGGATAAAGAGGAAAGCAGAGGTAGCATTGATGCCAGACGCACCTATGGAAAAACATGGGGACTAAAACCAGACATGGTATATTGGCTATACACGATGGTGGTTAAACCCATGATAACATACGCATCTCTGGTCTGGTGGCCAAAGATGAAGCAGGCGACCACCAGCAACAAACTAGGTAAGGTGTAAAGACTTGCATGTTTGGGAATGACGGGAGCAATGAGAACTACCCCAAAAGCTGAATTGGAGACACTTTTAAATCTACCTCCTTTCCACTTTGTGATAATGGGGGAGGCCAGGATGGGCCAATTCAGACTGGAAAACTCACCGAATTACAAAAGATCGGACCGAACAGAAATTTCGGAACAAGTGGTGGAGCACATAAGCCGTGAAAAGTGGAAGACCATTAGTCATCCCGAAAACATGTTTGGAAAAAACACCTAGTATACAGATGGATCGAAGGCCAAACATGGAACGGGAGCTGGAATATACCGAGCGGATAGAAATCTAAACTACAGCTATCCGCTAGGACTATACACATCCGTATTTCAGGCGGCAGTGTATGCTATCTTGCAGTGTGCAAGGCTTATTAAATTGAGACTTCAAAGAAATGAGCGGATCAATATTTTTACAGACAGCAAGAGCGCAAAACTGGTCTGGGAATGCCATGAAGAACTGAATGAACTTGCAAACAGAAACAAATTAACTTTGTACTAGGTACCGGGGCATTCAGGAATCACAGGTAATGATAAAGCTGATGAATGCGCTGGACGCGGATCATCAACTTCATATATAGGTCCTGAACCAGGTCTGGGAGTATCAAAATCATTGGTACGAAACCAGATTAGAATATGGACCAATAAGAAGCACACAGAGTACTGGACAAAAGTACCTGGCAACGAACACAGTAGAACCTTCATTGAGGAACCGTCCGAGAAAAAAACCGAAGAACTACTACTTCAATGTAGTAGGGATCGGCTCAAAATAATTACAGGGTTACTAACCGGTCATTGTCCGCTCAGAGAACTCCTGAATAAAATGGGGCTGTACAATGGAGACCTCAGCTGCAGATTATGCAACGAAGGGATAGAAACAGCTCTACACATCTTATGCGAATGTGAGGCACTGAATCACAAGAGGCAGGCAATATATGGACGTACAAAGTTACGCCCAGAAGAATATGACGAACATCCAACACAGAACCTGTACAAACTAGTACAGGGAACGAGACTGATGTGGGTGTCGTGAGAAGATTGGAGAACAAACGCAATAAGCCCAAGAGGCTGCAGTGTTTCCTGGAGACTTGGATTGAATGGACGAGTCAGACAGCTCCCAAGGTACAAAAAAAACCTCATTTACAAAGTTACGGCCCTTCAAAGTTCAGAAAAGGGCGACTTTTCAGCCTTCTTTTTCAAAACATGAACTATTTAAAAATATAAGCATTTATTCACTAGCTTTACACCTTATTCCTCCTTAATTAACACTTTTCAATTCAACAATCAACTTTTTTCTTATAAAAAACTTGATTCAAAAACGAATGTTTGCATCAGTCTTACCAACTATGTCATCAACCCTAAAAACTCAAAATACAGATATGTAACCAAAAACCAGCTCCATAGCATCGACGTTTGGCCAGCAAACCCTCATGCCACACACGGTCAAAGACCTTAGAAATATGAAGTGTTATTCCAAAAATATGGATGACATACGATAGAAGGTCGACTGTTGATCTCTGTTTCCGAAAGCCATATTGATGATCGCTCAAGATGTTGAAGCCTTCCAAATGTTTGCCTCTTCAGTACCAATCTGGATAACATTACAAGATGAAGAACTCAATTTATACAGAAAATTATGATTTTATGTCACGAA